TTTCAGATCATGGCCCAGGACTATTCTACTTGGAACCCTTGGCAGTGTACATTGTAACAGGGGCCCCTAATCTCTGTTATTTAGTGGAGAGGTGTGGCAGAGCACAGGTTGTGCCTGCCACTTTAAGGAGTCTGAGCAGGCAGGAAGCAGCCTGCTGATGGGAGAAGGCCTAATCAGGCAGTGAAATATTAGGCTGAAGGCTGCCTGATTCGTGCAGAGGCTGAGAACCTGGGCATAAGGCTAGACCCCAAGAGCAGAACTGGCAGTTGCTGCATGGGGCTAAAGACATCAGGAGGCGCTACTTCACGGTCAGGGTGGCTAGGATCTGGAACCAACTTCCAAGAGAAGTGGTGCTGGCTCCTACCCTGGGGGTCTTTAAGACAAGGCTTGACAATCACCTTGCTGGGGTTGTTTGACCCCAGTACTCTTTCCTGCCATGACAGGGGGTCGGACTTGATGATCTGCTCAGGTCCCTTCCGACCCTACAACTATGAAACTATGCAAATCGGTGACATCAGCTACACTGGACAAAAAAAACCTGATGACCAATCATGTTAATTTTCCTTTTATCGGTGCCAATACGATACGTGCCTGATATATCGGTGCACCTCTAGAAATTTTTACGCATCTTATCAATCTCTGACTACCTGAGGTATCTTTCATACACTACTTCATGGCCCTTCCAAAATACCCCAAGGCCTTACTCCAGGCAACAGCGGACCACATCTTTATTTGGTATTTAAGTTAAGAAATGCACCTAAAATTAACAAGCATCTTATAATGACATTGCTTACTTCAAAAAAGTTTAGAATGGGGAGTAAAACAACAGTACTCCACCAAAACCTGAACTTCTAAAAAGTATTTTTCCTCCATTCAAGAATTGAACGAAACCAGAAGAATAAGAAAAAGGGAGGAATACAGAAAAAGGTCTGGTTAATACTTAAATGTTTCACCAGGATAACCATACCAATGAACAATGCAACTATGATATAAGCTTAGTTGCCAAAACTAATTTAAGCTATGCTGATACAACTGCATGCACACTAGGGACCTTTTCTGTTGTAATAATAACTATGCCAATATTGTTTGCTGTTTTTAGCAAGTTTGTCCAAGCTGAGGTTTTCCCATGAACATGTCGAAGCCAAATATGCATTTTTCAACAGCACACACTTTCCCAAATACTGCATAGCACTTCTTGAAACTTGCTATTCATAGAGGTTCTAGGTTAGAGACTCTAGGTTTCAGTAGAAAAAGCCTGACCAACTCTAGTCTTGTACTTAAATCCTGAATGGAAGTTGCCCAACAAGAACTACAGTACATCCTCCATTATCCATACCCATTTGTAACGCATCTGCTGAACAGCTGTTCAGATTTCTGACTGAATTCAGAAAAATGAAAGTTACAAATTACTGCATCAAACTAAAGAGCAGAGATGTAATAGTATATTAAATACAATTTAAAAAGGATAACACAACAACAATTCAAAGTTAGTAAAAAAAAAAATCACTGGTAAGGTAAATGAGGATGTTTGTGTATTCAGCAGTACTGTACATAAAATGACACAGTGGTCTCCATCCAACTCTTAGTGGATAAATATGCACATTACAAAAAACATCTCAGAAGAAGCTCCAAAAGAATCTAGATGGAAAATGAACTGGCCATTTCACTCTAGGAGACGATATCTCACAACAGGCCAATTCATTTTGCCCCTACCAGGGACTTTACACACTGTTGCTGAATTGGTCTATAGATAAAAACCAGAATCCAGTTTCCAGTGCCTTAATCTACTGTTTGGGAAAAGTGACATGCTAACTTTAAAAAATATAAATGCTTGGAACAGTCTTTGGACTGTATTTTGTAGAGAAATGCAACTGCACTAAAACTATTAGAAAACACCTAAAATAATTGTGCCCACCATAGCATCATTATTTTACAATTCAGAAATGTAGCAAAACTGATTACAAACTAAACATTTCCCATACCTATTTGCGTATCTCAGTGTATTTAGAGTGTTTTCACATGAGGCCATCCCTGGAGAAATAGTAGCAATCTAAGGGGAAAAAAAACAAGTTAACAAACCCTTTTGTAGAAAGCACAACACTGCAGAATATAACAAGTTTACTTTGTACCTCAGATTTTATTTAAGCAATACTGTTAAGCACCAAATACAAATAAGATTAAGAATATAATCCTCATTATACATTAATATATGAATAAGCAGAGTTCCTGTCAAGTCAGCTCCATTTTTTAAACGACTCCAAACACAAATCACAGTGGGAAATTTTATCCAATTTCCCCTCAACTGTCAGTCTTAGCATTATACAAAGAAGCCGTTTGCTGTAGAAAAGACTAAGAGAAGAAAGGAAATACGAGATCCATAAACAAAATACGTACTGGATCTAACATTAGTTAACAGATAAATAAATTTAAACTGCTTAGTACAGGAGTAGGCAAAATGCAGCCTGCAGGCTGGATCCAGCCCACCAGGCAATTCCATCTGCCCTGCAGGCAGGCACCCACCAATTAACTGTATCCCAGCTGCCCCTGCTGTGCTTCACATGGGGCTGAGCTCCACCCACTACCACCAAGGTAGTGTACTGTGCTCCCACCCTTGCCCATGGGAGGGCCCCAGTCCTGGCCACTGTGCACAACTTCTGCAGCTGCAGCCACCCAGCGAACTGCTCAGCTCCCCCAGCCTCCAGCAGATCCTCCTCCTGCCCCTGCTGCAGCACTCCAGACAGCAGAGAGGGAAGTAGTGGCAGACAGGAGGGAAAGTTGCAACTAGGCGGGACAGTGGGGCTAGCAGGGCCAAGGCGGGCAACAAGGGTGCAGAGCTCAGGTCAGCAGGAGCATGGTGGTCCTCGTGGATCACATTCAGCTCCTGGGATTTGGCCAGTCACATACCACCAAGGGAGGAGCACTGCACAAGGGAGCTGGCAGTTTGGTCCTGTTCCCTGCTGCCACATGCAGCTCTCGGGAGTCAGCCAGGAACAGCAGGGAGCCCCATGAGATGGAGCCAGGCCGGCTCAGCCCCGCTCCCTGCCAAGTCCCAGAAGCTACACATTGTGCAGGGAGTAGGGCCAGGCTGCAAGATCCATCACGTGGGGCTCCTTCAGCTGCACATGGCTCCAGTGGAGTCCCAGGAGCTGCACAGAGTCATGGGGAGCCCTGCACAACAGAGCCAGCAGCCTGACCAGGTGGCTTTCAAAGGGGCAGCCACAGACTCGTAATAATTGTTTTTTGGAGGGGCCCCACGGGCCAGATCCAGCCTGCAGGCTGTATTTTGTCCACCCCCGTGGTAGACAATAAAACTACAGGAAGAGCAAGGCTACAAGAAGTTGAAGGAATCCACTACCACATACCAAATGTAAACCTCCAATAGCAGTTTCTAAGAACAAAAAATCTGTAGCACTGCACTAACCACAATTGCTACATGCTTCTCTTTATGGGAACTAATTAACAAGATTTACACGTTTGAAAATATTTTCAAACATGTTAGCGTATAAAGGGTGTCCTTCCCTGCCAAAGCTGTCCATAGGGATGTGCGGGGCAGGGAAGGAAGGGCAGCGAGCAGCCAGAGCGTGAAGCCAGCAGCACACTGCAGCCGCAGCAGAGCTAGCAGCATGTGGCGGCCACAGGGGTGCCTGTACAACACTGTCCACAGGGCCCAGGGTTGTCACCCCAATTCATCCCCTCGAGGGATGGCTCTGCCCCCTGCACAACCTTCAATCAATTTGCATTTGAACTAGCCCTTGACTTAACTATGCATTACAAGGGAGTTAAGGTACCAATTACATTTTTTGCTTAATACAGTACTCCATTACAACATTTCACTGGCCTAAAGACTGAATAGTTCTTCTTCACATTTTTCAATTTTAGAAACTACAGAGTTAAAAATACATCAGTACTTTCCTCACATATACATAACAAGGTTTAACTCAGTTTAACAGTCTAGACCAGTAGTGCTCAACCTTTTGGCCATGGGCCAAAGGACTAGCATATAGCTGGCCTGTGGGGCAAATCAGGCCATGAATGCCAGGGTTGGCCCCATGCCACCTCTGCCTGTTCCCATATTGGGACCAGGCCCCATGCCACCTGAAATCAGCCCCATACTGCCCTATGATTGTGTTGCCCCAATCAGCCAGTACAGGGCCATAATATCTGGCCTACAGGGCATCCCATGGGACCATAATTCAGCAGCAAGAGCACAGCAATTAACTGCCACTGCTCCCCCACCATCAAATTTTCAGACCTATGGGAGCTCTGCAAGCCAGATGACATGGCTCTGCAGGCCATATTTGGCCTGCAAGCTGGGGGCTGAGCACCCCATGTCTAGACTTTTTAGCTCATAACCAAACTTCTCAGGAAGCACTGAACATATAAGCAACAATATTTAGGTATAACAACTTGAGCAGAAAATTACTTATCATCTGAGGGGAGAGGGAGGAAATCAGTATCCCTCTTAAATACAGACATCTTCCCTGAATCTCTAGATCACAGCTTTGAACTTTTGTTCTTGAACTACAGACCTCATCGATTTACTCTCTAAAAGGAAAAGCAAACTAGAGGAGTTGTATTAGGGGAGCTATACAGTTGTGTTTCATATTTCCATCAAAAACAAAAGCCTGGAAGTATTTCTGAGATCCCATAGTTATAAATACCATATACCATAAATAAAAGAAGAGATTCATAGATTAAGGGTCGGAGGGGACCTAGTAGATCTTCTAGCCCGACCCCCTGCCAGGGCAGGAGAACAACAAAAAACCCCAAAAAGAGAAACGGGACTCAAATGAGTCCAGCCAGGTAGGCATCCAGCCTCTTCTTAAAGACCCCCAGGGTAGGGGCCAACACCACTTCCCTTGGAAGTTGGTTCCAGCTCCTAGCCGCCCTGACCGTGAAGTAGTTCTTGCGGATGTCCAATCTATACCTCCTCTCCATCAACTTGTGCCCATTGCTTCTTGTTATGCCAGCAGGCGCTAGGGGAAACAGCGTCTCCCCCAAACCCTTCTGGTCCCCCCTAGTGAGTCTATAGATTGTCACCAGGTCCCCCCTCAGCCTTGACATACAGTTAGTAAAACAGCCTTTGTAATATACAGGCTGACAAAAAAGCAGATTCTCTGTGTAACATAGCGCCAAGGTGCCTTGTGAATATTTATAAAGTATTCCAAACCTCTAGAGGAATAATTCACCAGCTGCTGCCTATTGTTGTTCTAGGTGAGCAAGCTATAATTTGACAATCAAGTCACAACAAACAAACAATAAGATCTCTACTAACAAACATTTTTTAATAGTTTAGAAGCAAGTCAACACTGTTATAAATGACACTGAACATCATTAGAGATTTTCTGCACACACTTTATCAGGGTCCTACTTCCAGGAGGAAGCTCCTCCTCTCAGCTGACATTTCTCAAGCTTGCTCTTTTCTCAAAAAAACTGAAGACAAAATCCACTATAACCTGTTCACTCTATTTTGCAGTGGTATTCTATTTTACCCTTGGATACCAACCTTCCAGTAACTATGGATCATACCCTAAGTGTATGTGTGTCCCATGCATGCATGATTAGATTATTCTGAACAGCAGTGTCCACTGATTAGGCCACACTGCACACTCTCATGTTTCCCCACGTATGACAGCACAACCGACAGAGTAACTACAGCCTTTCCCTTACAAATTTAGATTCCCAGATGGAGAGTGCTTATAAAAGGGCAGAACAGAGAGCAAACTGTGAGACCTATAGAGTTTACAATGACTTAAAACAGCACAGTTACTAAAAAAAAAAAAAAAAA